CTGTCTTCAGGTCCTTAAACATCTTCAGTAAACTGCCTGGGTATCTACTCACTTCTGCTTTTTTGCCTCTCCTAGATTTGAGGGTGGTAGGTGGGACATGGATTATCTGCACCTCCTAGCGGTGGCCAAAGACCCTTCCAGAGTGTGTGCACAAGCTGTGTCTGCGTGTGTGTGTGTCCTTGTCAGATACCGATGCTCGAGTCACACTGCACTTGGATGTCTGATGTGTAAGTTCCTGTTGGTGTCCCCTTTGTTCTTAGAGGGCAGGTCTTGGCTCTGTCTGATCTTAAACCTTAACAGCTCAGCCAAGCTCATACCCTTCTCTGATGGTCAGACAGAGAGGGCCCAGAGAGCTATTGGAAAGCCAGCCAAGCGCTATCTAGAAGAAGGAGCAGGTAGAGGGGGTGTGATATGAGCTGGCCCGCCCATGGGCAGGGCCTCTACCCCTGGAAAGAGAAACCCTGTTGGAGGAGTCAGACAGGTCCAAGGGCAGCTGGGAGCTGAGGAACCTCTGTTTTGTCCAACAACGGCTGGAAGAGCAACCAGGCCTGGCCAACACCACTCTTAGGCCTGAGATACCAGGAGCTGACAACACTGTGTGCACCCAAGTGAAGTTTACTTCCAGTAGGGTCGGCCAGCCCAGAGGTGTATCTGAAGGTCAGTGCTCCAGTGACGAGATCAAGCTCTGCCTGGCTCCTGAGGGCCATACATAACCTTCATACCCCCATCAATCCCTGCTGTCACCCTGGAGTCACAGCCTACCGGTCCTGACTTCTGTTCTGGTGGTTCTACTCTGGGGCTGAATGACACCAGCTCTGCACCCACCAGTTCACCTCGTGCTTCTTGGAGTCCTGAGCTCCTGGACCCACCGTGCCAGCTACCAGCAGGTGAAGAGGATGATCTCATGCCCCCCCAGGGTGCCGGGACTCCAGACAGTAAGCCTGAACCGGGAGCCAGGGATCCAGCTGGTACTTGGGCCCTGTCAACTATGGAGGAGCAGGAGGAGGGTGAGGGACAGGCAGAGGAGGAATGCCCCATCTGCACTGAGCCTTATGGGCCTGATGAACACCACCCAGCCCTGCTGAACTGTGGTCACAGCCTGTGTGCAGGCTGCCTGCACCAGCTGTTAGGCATGACCCCCAGAGCTGACCTGGGCCGTGTGTGCTGTCCACTGTGTCGCCAGAAGACCCCCATGCTAGAGTGGGAGATCTGTCAGCTGCAGGAGGAACTGCTTCAAGCTGATGGACCCCAGCGCCCAGCGCCCGCTGCATCCACCATACCCCTGCGTCCTGGCCCTGGGCCTTGGGGATCCTTAGAGCACCGCTACCGGCTGCGTTTTCTGGCAGGGCCTATGGGAGGCCGGAGCTGCCTCCCCTTCCTCCCCTGCCCTCCCAGCCTAGGTACCTGGCTGTGGACACTGCGGGAACGTGGTCCCTGTGCCCGCCGCCTGTCACTGCTGAGCCTTCTGGCATTAGAACTGCTGGGGCTGGTGCTTATCTTCATGCCACTCATGTTACTAGGAGTGCTCTTCATGCTTCTAGACCGTTCCGGCCGCTAGGCAGGGCCCAGGATGTTCGCCAAGGTTTGAGGCCATGTTCAGATTCTGGTAATCAGCAAAGACTTGCTATCACAATCCCGAGACCAGGCCTGTCCAAGAGCCTGAGCCAGCCAGAGTGCTTACACACCCCTGCAGCCCAGATACTGGCTAAAGCCAAGGACATTAAGCCAAGGACAGCCTCTGAAGGAGATTGGCCCAACAGGAAGGGCTGTGAACAGAAACCCATGTGCTTGCCATGGACGGGCACTTTACTGGCCACAGGCATTGGTTGGGTCGTAACACTGGCTCCTGAGGTCCAGCTGGTGAGAGTAGACACGTGTGAACAGAGATCTAGCAGTAATTTTGTTTATAGGAGAAGGCAAGGCTTCAGGGACCCTCTCACCTGACCCAGAGGTTGGTGTGTGTCCCTGAAGGCCACATTAGCTAGCAGGAGAGGCCTGCACTGCACAAACACAGCCTTCAAAAGCTCCTCACCCAACCTAAGATAACCTCACTAGAGCAGCTGGGATCAGTACTGGCTTTGTACTGCAAGGGCCAAGGTTCAATACAGACCCCGAAGCCTTCAAACGCCCAAGGAAGGTCCAGCTCTGTTTCTAATTGACTACAATTCATGTCACTGGACTAGGGTCCCTCACTTGGGAGATGAAGACAAATGTAAGCCCACCTCATGGCTTATTGCTGACACGATGTAAGGTGGGATGGCTTGGTCTATATCCAGCATAAGGATGGCTCTCAATAAACAGTTGCTACTGATGCTATTGTTAGCAGTCATCCTCCTCATTATCCATCTCCGCCATCCAGGCAGCTCTCCTCACACTCTTCAGAGGTACCTGATCCAGTCACAGGCAGGCCAGCGCCATACACGAGACTGCTGGGTCCTTGTCGCTGCCATGGTCTTAGCCAACTGTAAGCCTCTATTCATGCTCTCCAAAGGCCATTTCCACACATCCTTGGCCAGAGGAAAGGTACTTTGGGAGTGGGGGTGGATCTCACTGTAACCCACGCTCACCTCACAATTCTCCTGCCTTAGCTTCCAGAGTGCTGGGATCACCAGAGAGCATCGCCACACACAACTGAAAGTTCTGTCTGCTAGCTGGCTCACAGCCCCACATGCCACATACCAGCACTCCTCGGCACCAGTATGCTCACAGCTGGTCCCAGGCCTCCTGAGCAGCACACTTGGCCCCGCTTGGCCATCAACAAGTAGAGCAGACTAACCTTGGATGCAGTTGGGTGACCTGGCAGCTCCTAATGAGACCCTGTCCGGGGTACAGCCCTGGGCACCTACCCTAGGCCCAGGTGTGGGCATAGGCCACAGGAGTGAGCTTCAATCAGTAGACAAGTGCAAACTTTGGCAAAGAGTTTTAATGGCAGAGTTGGCTGCAGCGACAACGCCACGCAGGGTAGGGCCAGAAGCCACAGTGGGCGAGAAAGGGTCAGCGGGCAACAGGACAGGGCCAGTTCCCTGAAGAAGCGGCGAGCAAGGGCCAGCAGGCAGTGGTGGGCACTACATGATGGAGCAGGCTGACAGCGGGTTCCGCACATGGCAGGTGCACGCAGCCCCACAGTACTGCCGGAAGGTCTGGTAGCAGCTGCCTTCAGTTTCACCCCCCCACTGGCCACCGGATGGGGCAGTCAGGGCTTCAGGTGGCAAGCGGCTCAGGATGGATGTGTTGACAGCCAGTGCAGCCAAGCCATAGTCAGTGAAGAGCACAGTCTCACGGTGGCAGGTGGGACATGAGATAAACTTGTACTTAGGACAAGACTCGTAAAGAATCTGCAGGCACTGCTCACACACAGAGTGTAGGCAAGACAGTACTCGGGGCCGCCGCTGAGTGACGTTGTACGTGTGCCCACAGGTGGGGCATTCCAGGGGCTCACCTGCTATCACTGGCCCAGATGATGTAGGTGCAGAGGCTGTCGGGCCAGGCCGAATCACATACTGATTTACAATGACCTCATCCACTGGTGCCACCCGGGGGAAGCCCAATTCAGAACTGCCCTTGCGGGGCCGCCTTGGCAAGGGTGGAGTGTGGGGTGCTCCTTCCAAGGTAGGCATGTCCCCCCCACATGCCTGGTTGACAATGATCTCTGTGTCTGAGGGCCAAGCACGCTTAGGTGCCAGAGTGGGAGTGGACCTGGGTGCAGGTGGGAAGCAGGGGGTGGCCGCCGGGAGCTCAGGGAACTTTTCAGGGTGGACAATCTTCATGGCCTCCATTTTGAGGATGACATGGGGGCCTTTCAGGCAGGACATGAGGAGGCCCGGCCATCCACTGCCCACCTCAGGCCCAGGGTCAGCTGGCATCCGGCTCTCTACAGTCAGGCCGGACGTTGGCACAGGTGGGGGTGTTGGGTGGGGCCGTGGGGGAAGAGAAGGGGCTGCATCCTGGTCCTGCCAGGCCTGGTGAAGACCCCGGTTACTCCGTGGACTGCAAGGGGCAGCAGGTGACAGATTGGGGGGCAGGGCCCCCCCCAGTGGCCACAATGGCTTATCTGCTTCAGTCCGGTGAGGAGGAGGGAGAGGAGGGGGAGGGGGAAGCAGGCGGGGACAGGGGGTATGGGAGGCTGTCTTGGACTGTGGGGCTCACCCAGGGGCTCACCCAGGGTCTCTGTCTGCTGAGGCTGGCAAGGGGGCGTGGAGGGGCCTCCTCCTGCAGCAGAGGTCAGCAGTCCCTGGGCCGGGACATCTGGGCAGGCAGGGGCTAGGTGGGCCCCATGGCTCCAGGACAGGGCGCCCAGGGAAGGCAGCTAGCCTGATCCCTGGCTGCCGGAGGACCTGGGCTGCAGGCTCCGCGGCAACAGCAATGGAGAGGCCTGCACCAGGCCCGAGCTGCGGGTGAGAGACAGCGTGAGGGCAGCACGGGGCCCACCTCACTTTCGCCCTCACCCCCGCCCTGCACAAAGGACAGGGTGCCCGACCTCTGACCCTGACCTCATCCGTGGGATCCAAGTCTTCACGGAATTCTGAACCCAACCCCCTCCCCTCCAGTATGCCCTCCGAGGCCAGATTCACTGTCCGGAGGACTGACCCTATGGGAGAAGGAAGAAATGATGCGTCTGACCCCCGCCCCTCCCCCCGCTCACCTGCCCCAGCCTGGCGTTCCCCGGCTGCGCCGCCGCAGCAGCAGAGGTTGTCTCAAAGGCAGGCCCGGATGCGGCGCTAGCACCTTGGCTCTCCCGCTCTAGCGGCTCCGATAGCTCTCGCGGCTCCAGCGGCGATCTCGGGCGATGGCGGGCGAAGGCGGCACCCAGGGGCGCGAGCGCTGGTGCTGGACGCAAGGCTCCGCGCGGCGGCGGCGACAGCGGCAGCGACGGCAGCGGCAGGTGCGTGCGGAGCGTGGCGCGTTCTGCGGCGGAGGCGCGGGGACCGCAGTGCGCGCGGCGCCCGCCCGCGCCCGCAGCGCCACCCCCCGTCTGGGGACCCGCGCGGGGTCCACGGGGCGGGGCCAGTCTCCTAGCCGCCCCTCGATCCACTCCTGGCCTGGCGTCTGCTCTCAGGGTCGACCTCCAAGCTAGCTACGGGCGGGTCAGGATCTCCGCGTCGCCAACGTTCCCTTCCTTCTGAGCTGACACTGCGAGGAACCAAATCCTCGCCGAATTTTCTAAGGGAAACCTTCCCTTCAGTTGGAGCCTCACAATGTCGGAGCAGGGGTCCCAGCGTTCCACCAGTGTCTCGTCTATCTTACGAGCTCTGAAGGAGCAGGGTCCTTTCATTCCAAACCCCGCCACACCCCCTGTGTGAACGCCGAGAGTTTTCCAACTCACTGACGTGTCCACATTGCACCCAAGACTCATCAACTCTAAGAGGGTGATATGACAGTAAAAGGGATAAGGGGTGAAGCGGATGCCAGAGGAGTGGAAGCGGGAGCTGGGGCGGTCGCGAGGAGGTTCGGACAGGCCGGGAGTCCGCGTGTCGGGTGGAGGGCTCACTAAGCACTCAGCTGCCTTTCTTGTATCGCATCAGGTCAGCACGTGCGTCTCAGTTACGTACTAAACTGACCCCACCCAGCAGAGGCCCCATTCCTTTCGTCTTCCTCCTCCTACATGGTCCTCCTCCACCTGGACTACACCTTTGCCTCAAGGGAGCCCTCCGACAGGAAAGGACAAAGGACACGCTGGGGACCAGGGTGTCCACATGTTCAGAATGCCATTCTTTACCACCTCATGGCCACCATGCAGCATGGTGCCATACCTGTGACCAACACTGAGTCCTTGCCTGACCCTGGACAGTCCAGAATTTATTCAGGCCACAGCCCCCCTCTCTGTGCAATCCAGACGAAGGGAGCAGTGTTCCTGGTGAGCCAAAGGGGGGCCGGGTTTTACAGCTCTAGGGAACCAAGGACGCACATCAGGGCTCCGTCAGCAAGACCAGGTGAGAGAAGGGGTCAGATGCGGGGATGTGGAGGGGAGGTGTCTTGTGGGATCCTGGCATCATGCTGGGGTAACTCAGGTAGTTATGGCCAGAGAAATGAATGAGTCCACCCTTCCCGGGAGGGCTCTGTACCCTCACCCACCCACTCCGCCCGTGCACAAGGCCACCTACAGCCCCACCCTTTGCCTAGAGTCCCACCCCGTGAAATAAAGCCACGCCCCGTGGGAGGATAAGCGCTCCTCCCATTCCCCCCGACGCAGTTCTAAGTTGAATGGAGCAAAGCAAGGATCCATCCAAACCGGGTCTTTTGGGAAACCCTGGAGCGCGAAGGCTTCTGGGGAATTAAGTTTCCACTGGGCACCTCGGCTGGGTTTACGCATGCTCGCGGCTAGGGGCGGAGTCTACACGAGCGGTGGGCAAGGTTAGGGATCCTACGTAGAAAGCTCGATTTTCCACGTCTTAAGCATGTTTCCCCCAGACCCATTTCCTTCTACTTGCTAAGTTGCTCAACCTGCCTGACTGGCTCTACGCAGGCTACTCAGTCACCCTGGCTCGCAGTCCCTGTCCTACTTGGTCTCTCCTTCCTGGTGTTTTCCCGAGTGGTGTCCGAGCCCGTCCCACTGTAGTGTAGACCCAGAAGAGCTCGCCGGTTGGCCCATAGGCTTGCAACTATTGTCTCCCCTAGCCCCACTGTCATTCTTCGTGTCCCCTATGGGCGAGGAGGTAGAGGTACAAAAGCAAAAAAGGGTGCCAGGGACAAGAGTGGGTACAGAGGACAGAAAACTTTGGGGAGCTTTCACCCCAACTCACCAACACAGGGAAACTGCAGTTCCAGAAACAAGCTGAAAATGTCACTTGTGTCTGAAGTCCATGTCACCAATTGTATCTACAAAGTTGTGTCAAACATTTTTTTATTGTTGTTATTAAAATGGACAACCCTCCAAGTGGTCTCAAGAATCCCAGTGTCTGCTGGGTACGGACAGTAGGTGGCATGGAGGAACTCTGGACAGTGGCTCTAGAATCCAAAGGCCTGCCTCCACTTCCTTCTTGAGGCCGTGACCCAAGGAGGTAGGACATGCTCAGATGAATCGTGCTTGACTCACCCTCGATTGGCAAATGCCCCTTGGAGCCCAAACCTTGGCCTCCACCCATCTGGGAATGAGGGGTGACTGGCTGCTGTGCTCTAGTTGCTAAGGCCTCTTGGGATCTTGGGAACCCCATCTTTGAGCTCCACCCCAAAGCCCCACCCCTGTCTAGGAGGGAAAAGGCACCTGCTGGTAGCTCCGCTCACAGGCACTGGGACCTGAAGCTGGAAGACACTGCTGCTGCTTCCTGCAGGTGAGTCCTTGCCCAGGGGCTGACCTGTACTCAGAGGTGCCTCCTGGTCAGCCCCTGCACTCCCTTGGACCAGCTCGCCAGTCTCCCAGCCTTTTGTCCCCATTCCCAGGTGGATCCAGGAGCATTTCTTGGGTACTGGTGGAGGGTGGCGACTGGGTACTTGGGGTCCTCCAAGTCACATAGGCCTTGAGTATACTCTGATGTCCCCATACCTGCACACAGATGCCTCAGTAATATGGCTCTTCACAAGGCAGGCTCCTCCTAAGTGGGTGTCTTCTTGCGCTACAGGCTTCTAAGCAGCTTTTTTTCTTCCCTGAGTCCACATATGTGTCTCTGCTCACCCCTGCAGCCTGAGCCATGGACCCCCATGAGATGCTTACGAAGAATCCATATGCCCACATCAGCATCCCTCGGGCTCACCTGCGGTCTGACTTGGGGCAGCAGTTAGAGGAGGTTCCCCCTTCATCTTCCTCCTCTGAGACTCAGCCTCTGCCTTCAGGAGCCTGTGCCCCAGAGCCAGCGGGCGTCTTGCAAACCACCGAAGCCCCAGGGCCCAAGGGCATCAAGGGGACCAAAGGTACTCCCGAGCAGAGCCAACAGACCTGGCAGTCACCCTGCAATCCCTACGGCAGTGGGCAGCGTCCATCAGGACTGACTTACGCTGGCCTGCCGCCCGTGGGGCGTGGTGACGACATTGCCCACCACTGCTGCTGCTTCCCTTGCTGTTCTTGCTGCCACTGTCCACGGTTCTGCCGTTGTCACAGCTGCTGTTGTGTTGTCTCCTAGCCTGGCTATCCAATAACCAGGGCTGTGGGGCCCAGGCCTCAGCTCAATGCCAAAGTGGTGCCGGACATGAGAAGCGGCCATTGTCACGGGCATCAGCCACTTCCCGCTCTGGACAGGGGAGCCTGTCCACCAGGAAGGCTCAACTGGTGCCCTCTGGAATACGGTCCCAGCCACTAGCCATGTTGGCAGCAATAGGGACACCCTTCACTTCCTGCAAGACTTTGGCAATAAAGCGGGGTGAGCATTGTGGCAGTGACTCCTTTTTTGCCAGGGGCCTATTTGGGAGAGGGTCCTGGTCAGGACGGCTACTTTTGCTCTCAAATATTATCTCCCCAGTAGGCTCCCAGACCCTGTGGAACCTTCCAGAGACTGGGAAGCCACTGCCTCATGACATCCATAATTTAAGGGCCTTGCAGGCTTCAGTCCACCCAGGGGCCTGTAGGTGTAATATGTCCACTGGCCTGGGCCAGGTCCCGGTTTTCCCTTGGGCTAAAACTGAGAGAGTAAACAAGGTTAGCCGAGTCACAAGGTGGGGGTGCCATACTTGCCACTGTGGGGGGCCCCAAGAAAATACTCTGGGGGAAGATCAGATTGGAGGGCTGTTGGTGGGTGGGGTTGATGTTAGCAGGTTTCAGGGAGTGGGAGCTCAGGATCCAGGGCCCAGAACCCAACCCTGCCCAACGTGAGTCACCACCCAGCCTCAGCCAGGGCATGTTTCTGGTTCCCCACAAAAGATAATTCCTACAACCCAGAGCTCTGCTGTTGAGCCAATTTCGAGTGATGTGTACCAGGCTTTGAAGATGAGGCAGGGAAGGGTGAAGGGAGTGTTGGCTTCTCATCTGTCCAAGCTGTGTAAGATGTCTGCTGGGGGCCATGTATGAGACACCAGGGTAGGGAGTGTGCAGGCAGGCCAGCTCTGGGCAGCCTGGTGTTTCCGGGGCAGGGCAGAGCCACAGCGCCACGTGAAGAGGGAGGAAGAGCTGGCCTCACAAGACAAACGAGTCCTCCTGAAGTTGGCCCTCCCCTGATGCAGACAGAGACCGGTCATGTAGGCTAGATGTGTAGCGTGTAGAGAGGTCTCCAGGTCATTGCCCTGACTCTCCTCTCCAAGCTCCTTGTCCCCTGTTCCAATGAGGGCCAGCACAGGAACCCGTCTGACCAGTCTTAAAGGCAGACTGCCAAGCAGGTGGGTAAAAGTGAGTAAGGAGGCTTGCTCTGCCCTTTGGCATTCTCCTAGCAACCCTGTATGCCATCCTAGGGGTCCTGCCAGCCTGTCCCAACTCACCTGGGTCTCCCTCATTCTCTGCTGTCTCCAGTCCTCATCACAGGGAGCTTTGATCCTACTTCCCTGAACTGTCTGCCTGGACTATTGCAAAGGCTGAGGGTCCCATAGGTAGTCAACTGGGAGGTGCTTAGGATGGGGGGGGCGGGATTTCTGGGGTGATGGTTGTGTGAGGGAATCCTATCTGACCGAGTGCCACCTCAGGGCTGACGAGCAGGCTCCTGCCTGTGACATCACAGGGTAGACCTAGTCTAGGTAGGGAGGAAGGTGATCCTGAGAATCGCCACAAATGAGCAAGAATATGCTCCCTGCCATGGAGCTGGGGGTGGGAGCAGGTTTCCTGGAAGGTGACATGAGCGGAAGCTGAAGAGCGGGCGTCACTCAGGCCAAAGCAGGAAAACGTTACAAAAGCGGGATCAAATGAGAGGGGTGAGGACTTGAGCCTGGAAGAAAGTATGAGGATGGGGGGGGCATAAACTCTGGGGCCATCTAGGGTGGAGAAAGACAAAGCCAGATCGTTGGGAGTTGCAGGGGGGGGGAGTGGTCTGGACAGCATCCGTTCTGCAGGGGGCTGGCTCACCTTATCGCCTGCCCAGTGGGTGGTGCGTCAGATCCAGTTGCAGGTGCTTTGTGGCTGAAAGGGGAACCCACTCTCAGTTGAAGCAGCCACCACCTGCCTCCTGCCTGTGGCCAGTAATGCGAGCCCAAGGAAGGAGCCATGAGGTGTCCAGGGTCCCCACCCGCTTCTCCTACAATCCTCTAGCTGGGAATATCTTTCTGGTGGAGTGGATGCAGGTAAGAGAAGCCTGGGGTTCAGTAAGGGCTGGGAGAAGCAGGAGGGACCGTGGATGGATCTCAACAGTGGGGTACGGTGCTGTTTCAGCCAATGGCCACAGATATGAGAGATATGCCCAGACGTGGTGTTAACCCAAGGCCACCATCTTCCCTCCAGGTATGCAGACACTTACCATCCCATAGCCCTGTCTTCTGTCCTCTGGGGCCTAGCATGGACCAAAACATCACATAGGTGGGCAGAGGTGAACTGTAGCTTGTGCTGTTGCCCTGCTGGTTCCAATACTTTCCATAGGATGCTGCAGCCTGAAGGCCCCCACGCCTTGGAGGAGAGGGCAGCCCTGACGACCCCACGGAATGACTGCATCGTCTGCTACTCTGCCTATGACCTCTCAACACACTTGCCTCGACGCCTCTACTGTGGCCACACCTTCTGCCAGGCGTGCATGCGGCGGCTGGACACTCCGGCCCATGAACAGCACTGGATCCCCTGCCCACAGTGCCGTCAAAGCACCCCTATGCCCCGAGGAGGGGTGACCATGTTGGACCTGGACCTAGCTGCCTTTTTGGCAGTCAAAGCTGAACGGGAACCATCAAGAATAGAACCCAGGTCCTCTGTCCCCCTCAAAGTCAGCAGTACCATCACTCAGCAGCCAGCCGAACTCTACCCCACCTTGGGTCCCCAACCCCACTTTCCTCAGCCTGGCTGCTGCTGCTGGGGCTGGGGAAGACTGTGTTGGTACCCTCCTGGGAACCCTGAGGTCTAAATTCTGGCTATCTCCACTTCCACAAAGCAAACTGTGCTGGCAGCTTGCCTGCCTTGGAGCCACTGATCATACGCTGTGCAAACGGAACAGCCTGCCAGCAGGGAATCCTTCTTATAGACCTATGGCCCAACATAGTGGTGTCACCCTGACCAGGGACATCTCAGGTTATAGCCTAAGGTCTGAGTCAATGGCCACAGTAGGCTGGTCCCCATTTACTGGTCTAGATTCCCATATACCCTAAACTAGCCTGACTTTGTTAGGCTAGCCAACGCTCTTCTGTCTGTGTCGCCTGCAAACCCAGGACTTAGCTCAGAGAGTGGCTCCTACGAGTCCGTGGGGATGAGTGCAGGGGCTGGCACGGGGCCAGGCTGTGGTTGTGCATGAGTGACTGGCCTCAGAGCAGGTCTGCCTCTCCACAGACATTCAGAGGTATGAACCAGGAGGGAGAGCAGGTTACCTACTTTGTGCCCAGAGTCTTACATGTTTCACCTATTCCACACTGGCTACTGAGCTCCTACCATGAGCCAGGCACTATTCTGAGAGTGTCTGCTGCAGCACAAAGTCACCTCTGCAACATGCATCACAGAAGGGTACCATAGGGACAGGGGTCTTGCCTGAGGTCTCACAGCTCATCATCCTATCTCATACAATTTTGGTTTGTTTTTAATTTGCTTTTTGTTTTTTGTGGGTTTTTTTTTTTTGAGACAGGGTTTCTCTGTGGCTTTGGAGGCTGTCCTGGAACTCTCTCTGTAGACCAGGTTGGCCTCGAACTCAGAGATCCGTCTGCCTCTGCCTCTCGAGTGCTGGGATTAAAGGCATGTGCCGCCACCACCTGGCTCAATCATCCTATCTCAAGACTCCCAGCCTCCTTCTGCCTCTAGTGACCATAATAACACAGACCCTTCTGTAGGTGCTAGAGGTTACAAATTACTGACAACCCTCAGGCCAAAGCTGTAATCCTCCATCCCGCTAGGAAGGAGCTGAGTTCAGGAGCCCTTGAGAGGGGCCTCCTGGGGAGTGGTTGTAGGATGGGGAGGAAAGAGAATTTGCTGAATAGACACCAAGAAAACTCCTTCCCTGGGCAAAGTCCCTCAAGCACCCAGGGACAGAGCTGGGCAGTGAACAGAGCAGGGTGCTGGAGCCTACAGGGCCCCTGGGGAAGTAGCTTAGAGAGGAGGGCCCAGTCCCCTCCAAGGACTGGAAGGGGCTGATCCACAAGACACGACATTTCACAGCACATGGGCTCAGAATAGCACTCATCTGGGAAAAGACTCTCAGATAGGGTTCGGGCAATGAGCACTGGAGTGGGGAAAGACTCTGCCCTCCCTCCATCCATCTTTGCAGATAGAGACTCTGTCCTGACCCCCCTGCTGGCCTCCACAGAAAGCCCTTCCTGGACCTAGCCCTACCGTCAAATTCAGATTTGAATCTGCTGACCTGAGAGCCTGGGTACCTTCCCAGGCCACCTGAGGGAATCTGTCTTCCACACCCAGCTGGTGCAAAGGGCTTCCTCCATCTCATCTCTGTCAGGTGCACGGACGACCATGATAAGGTTTGCTGAGCTCAGAGGAACACAGAAAGAGGATGGCAACATTCTGAGCTCCCTAGGCAGCCCCAGCCAGAATGAGAGCGTCCTGCCTGGACGGTGTGGAGTGTCCATTAAATGAATCAGATGCCTACTGGTGGCTGCAGTGTCTAGCTCTATTATACTCCTGGCCAGATGTTGCCCAGCCCTAGAAGTTCCACCGCAAAAGAGTTGGGCTGGGGGCTCAGAACTCCTAGCCCTAGGATGACAAGGGTCTGAGCAAGGCCTTGGGGCCAGGCAGGGTCTCCCCTTGGGGGCCCCAGCTCCTGGGTAAACATTAATGGGGCTCCACACACAGCAGGTCATGTGCACACTGGGCAGATCTTTGACCTGCAGCTGTCGCTGCTGTGCCTTCTCCCTGCTGGTGCCCCCTCACCACACATGCAGGTAGGAGCTCCTAGAACTAGACCAAGCTAAGGGACACTGGACCAGAGCCGAATGACCACCAGCTCCAGGGCTTGGGCACCATTCTGAACCCCCAGGATCTTAAAACCAAGTGAGAAGAACCTAGGGGCAGGCCAGAGGGAGGGGACACAAAGGACCCCTGGGCCTGAGCCCAAGCACTAGGGAAGGGATCAGGGTAGACTAGGATTCAAAGAATTCCAGACCCAGAGACCCATGGAGCCAGAGCTGCCGGAAAGGACCTGATGTGAGCAGGGGGCTCCCAAGCCCTGCTCGGAAGTTGGGGGTGGGGTGGGGCTCTTATCAAGCAAAGACGTCACTTGTTTGGTATCAAATACCAAAGTCTAAGCTGGGACCATCTGCAGTGTCCTCACTGACCCTCGATAGGAGAAATCCCAGGGCTCTGTAGCTAACAGGTACTTCCAGCCAGCGCCCCAGAACCCTGTGCCCTCAGTGAGCTGTCAAACCTTCTTCCAGCCAAGACCAGTAAGAGAGCTGGGGCTCCAGTAGACCCTATCTTCTGGCCCCTAAAACTAGGCTGGGCTCTCCTGACAACCACCTGAGGTCACTGTCTATGGTCAGAGGGGAGAGAGAGCCACCAAGACCTGTGAGGTGTGGGCTGCGGCTGACGGTTGGGGGGGGGGGGGCCTGACTTCAGACTGCTTCGTGGGATAGAGGTAGAGTAGGAAGAGCAACCGGTTCTTACCGGCCTTGCCCTCAGCAGATCTAGGACTGGGCCTCGGTCTCTCTCTGCTTGAAATCCATGCCGAATTCCCTCGCTGGTGGCCAGTTCCCCAACCCTACTCTGGATGCGATTGACCTGGCGGACCGGAATCCGAGAAATGCAGGTATTGGGCGGGCGGGCGTCCCCAGGGCTCTGCATCTATGCTAGGCAAAATGAGGTTTCTCTAGATGCCCTCTTGAAGGGTTCTAGTGTCGCCTCTGGCCTGAGCCAGACTCACTGGAGACCTTTCCCTTCCCTGACTGTACCTCCCCCCCCATGGCCCCTTGTGCCCACCCCCTTCCGCCTCCTCGTGCTGCCTTTTGTCCTCCTCCTTGGGGATCTACAAACAGCCCTACCTGACTTGACCCCTGCAGGGACCTCCCCTTCTATCCCAGGCTTGGAGGAGGCAGGCCCAGATCCCTGGGCCTTCCCTCAGCTGAAGAACACTGGCCAAATGAAAGGTAGGTCTGGGGGTGATGAGACAGCATGAAGGCAGGTTCTGGCTTCCCATTTCTCAGCAGAGTATAAGCTGGGACTTAGCAGAACACACCTCATAGAAACCCACGTTAATCGGCTTGAGATGGAGTGAAAACTCCCCTTCCAGCCTCTTGTCTTCCTCTCCCCCCGCCCCCCATGATGGCTCCAATTCTGGGACTCCCCCCTCCAAGGTCATGGGCTTAGTCATATGACAAAGGAACAAGGGAGGACAAAGGAGGAGACACAGACTCTGCCCTGGGGAAACACATGTGGAGGACATGGGTTCCTGCGTTCTGCCTGAGAGGTGACAGGAAACATGGTCCCTGTTCATAGGGAACAAAGTGTGTGTATATATATATTGGGGGGGTTACTGCTGCTGTGCAGTAGTCAGCTGGTCAAATATAGTCCTATCTGGTGTCCCTAGAGGTCAGCATGGCCAGCAGGCTTCGCATGGTGGTCATCGGCTTCCTCAAGGCATGCGGACTCCTGGGAAGCCTCTACTTTTTCATCTGCTCCCTGGACATCCTCAGCTCTGCCTTCCAGCTGCTAGGCAGTGAGTGACCAGGTGGGAAGCCGGGGTGGGGATGGGAAGTTAGCTCTTTACAGCCTCATTGCATTTCCCTGTGGGGAACAGGCAAAATGGCTGGAGACATTTTCAAGGACAATGCGGTACTATCCAACCCTGTGGCTGGCTTGGTCATTGGTGTGCTGGTCACAGTCCTTGTGCAGAGCTCCAGCACATCTTCCTCTATCGTGGTCAGCATGGTGGCCTCAAAGTGTGAGTGCATCTCTCTTTCCCAGGGCAGGGGTGGGGGGGCTGGCGAACAGGCAGGGCTGCTGAAATGGCACCCCTACAGTGCTGACTGTCCAGGCATCGGTGCCTATCATCATGGGCGTCAACGTGGGCACTTCCATCACCAGCACCCTGGTTTCAATGGCGCAGTCAGGGGACCGGGATGAGTTCCAGAGGTGAGTCAGGACTGAAGGGCCAGGCTGGGTCTGCCTTGGCCTCAGTAGAGGCTGCTCAGACAGACAGCCTGGCTGCTCAGACAGACAGCCTGCCCTGTGTGACTGCAGGGCCTTCAGCGGCTCCGCTGTGCATGGTATCTTCAACTGGCTCACAGTGTTGGTATTGCTGCCACTGGAGGGCGCCACAGCAGCATTAGAGAGGCTGAGTGAACTGGCCCTGGGTGCTGCTAGCCTGCAGCCAGGGGGGCAGGCCCCCGACATCCTCAAGGCGCTGACGCAGCCTTTCACACACCTCATCATCCAGGTGAGGACAGATGTGCCATAGGAAGGTACCGGTGCCTGGCTGATGAGGAATAGGAGGCAGAAGCCCTGCCCTGGATGGGGACAGAGAGGGATTAGGTTTGTAATAGGCGGAGGGATAAAGAATGTCAGACACATAATCATGCCCCCTCTGTCTACCAGCTGGATAGCAGCGTGATTACTGGGAGTGCTACCAGCAACACCACTAACAGCAGCCTGATTAAGCAATGGTGCGGCGTCAGGGGGGAGACGGTGAGATGCCACCCCTCATTTGACCTCTGACCTGCTGAATCATCCCACCCTTGATCTTGATCCTTCTAACCTCTGTCTGCCCGGTGTGCGCCTGGCCTGAGTCCTCCCTACCCCTCCGCTGCAGGGCAGCGATGAGGGATGCAGCATCTTCAGCCCTTGCACAGAGAACAGCACAGCATCCCCAGAGGAGAACAAAGTGCCTTGTGCGTACCTCCACCAGTCCTGCCCACTGCCCTGCTTTCTGCTCTGGCTCCCTCCCGCTCATCGCTCTGCCCTGCCACAGGCCATCACCTGTTTGTGGGCACCGGGCTCACGGATCTGGCTGTGGGCTTCATCCTGCTGGCGGGCTCTCTGCTGGTGCTCTGTACCTGTCTGGTCCTCATCGTTAAGCTGCTCAACTCTGTGCTGCAGGGCCGCATCGCACAGGCCGTGAGAACTGTGATCAATGCAGGTAGGTGTCCGGAGGTCCTGGAACTGGGGTGGAGGGTGAGGCAGGGAGTTAAGAGTGACCCGACTGCCTTCCACCCTGCACGCCTGCAGACTTCCCCTTCCCCTTTGGCTGGCTCAGCGGCTACTTGGCCATCCTTGTTGGTGCAGGCCTAACCTTCTTGCTTCAGAGCAGTAGCGTGTTCACAGCAGCCATTGTGCCTCTCATGGGTAAGCCAAAGTGGACAGTGGGCTCGGGGCTGGGGGAGCTGGGCTGGAGCCCCTGCTGAGCCTTCATCCCTCCAGGGGTTGGAGTGATCAACCTGGAACGGGCCTACCCCCTACTCCTGGGCTCCAACATTGGCACCACCACCACGGCCCTGCTGGCTGCCCTGGCCAGCCCTGCAGACAGGTTGCTCTTCGCAGTGCAGGTACTGCCCCCAACCGGTTCCCTGTTGCCAGCACAGCCAAGGCTGGTTACGGCTCCAGCTCTCCTTGGGTTCCCCAGACCCCAACCACAGGCCTGCAGCACCAGATCCAGGGGGGATGCTGCAGCCACTCACAGCTCCCCAGGGGAGACACTGCAGCCACTCACAGCTCCCCAGGGGGGACGCTGAAGCCACTCACAGCTCCCCAGGGGAGACACTGCAGCCACTCACAGCTCCCCAGGGGGGACGCTGAAGCCACTCACAGCTCCCCAGGGGAGACACTGCAGCCACTCACAGCTCCCCAGGGGGGACGCTGAAGCCACTCACAGCTCCCCAGGGGAGACACTGCAGCCACTCACAGCTCCCCAGGGGGGACGCTGCAGCCACTCACAGCTCCCCAGGGGGGACGCTGCAGCCACTCACAGCTCCCCAGAGGGGACGCTGAAGCCACTCACAGCTCCCCAGGGGGGACACTGCAGTCACTTACAGCTCCGCCCTTGGCTGTTCCCTTCCAGGGCAGCTTTCTTCCCATGCCCTTTGTCCCTCTATCACTGGCAGCATCCCCAGCTCCCTCTGGAGGACCACTGGTTCTCTGGTCCCTACATCCTAGACTCTTCTTGGGGTATCCAAGAGTGGTTCTCTGGTCCACACTTCCAGAGGAACTGTGCCTCCATGTACCCAGATCACTAGCGAAGGAATGGCCTGCCTCCCCAGACCCTATCCTGGGGATGTCCCCGCTCTCCCGTGCAGCTGTGCTGGCTGCATCCTGCCACCTAATCTGAGACATGATTCTGCCTCTGAGTTGTCTCCCCCTAACCCAAACCTCGCAGCTCTGAACCTCACTCTTAGTCCTGTTTGAGCTCCAACCCTCTAAATTACCTAGTCTTTGCTCGGACCCAAACTTCCTTCTGCCTGGGACAGAATCGGGTTCTGGAATCTTGGGTAGCACTAGCTGCTGCTCCCAGGAAAAGCATGAGCCTAGCCCTCTTGCCCCCCTCCTGCGTCTTTGCCCCCCTCCTGCGTCTTTGCCCCCCTCCTGTGTCTTTGCCCCCCACCTGCGTCTTGGCCCCCTCCTGCGTCTTTGCCCCATGCCATCTTTGTCTCTCAGATCCCCCTGAGAGACATGACCCATCCTTTCCCAGTCCTCTGCATGGTGCTCACTCACCGAAAGGCCACGTGTTGTGTTCCCCGACTTCCCTGCTCACCCCACCCCCACATTGTCTCTGACACAGCAGGGATGTGTTCCTGCACTCAAGCGCTGACACAGGCCCTCATCTCCTGAAGTGTGGGGGAGGCTGTGTGGTGAACACGAGCCTACTCTGGCTGGACCCTGTCGTCCTCAGTGGTCTATCCGAACCACTCAGCAGGACACGACAGACGAGTCCCAGACTGGAGCAGAGCAGGGAAGGGCATGGTTTCTTTTTGTTTGTTTTACTTACTGTTTTCCAAGACAGGGAGTGTGTGTGTGTGTGTGTGTGTGTGTGAGTGTGTGTGTGTGTATGTGTGTGTGTGTGTAGCCCTGACTGTCCTAGAACTCTCCCTGTAGACAAGACTGGCCTCGAACTCACAGAGATCTGCCTGCCTCTGCCTCCTGAGTGCTGGGATTAAAGGCGCACGCCGCCGAGGCGGCCCCCACCACCACCTGGCAAAAGGCACGGTTTCTAAGAGCCCGGGTGGCCCACGTCATGTGGTCCAAGCTTCTCACCCCTTCTTGCCCTTCCTGCCTACCAGGTTGCTCTCATCCACTTCTTCTTCAACCTGGCTGGCATACTGCTGTGGTACCTGGTGCCTGTCCTGAGACTACCCATCCCACTGGCCAAGCGCTTTGGGGACCTGACTGCCCAGTACCGCTGGGTAGCCATTGTCTACCTGCTGTTCGCCTTTCTGCTGCTGCCCCTGGCAGCCTTTGGACTTTCCTTGGCAGGGGGCTCGGTGCTGGCTGCAGTAGGCGGTCCTCTGGTGGGGCTGGTGCTCCTTATCGTCCTGGTTAATATCCTGCAAAGACACCGGCCATCTTGGCTGCCTCACTGTCTTCGATCCTGGGCCTGGCTGCCTCTCTGGCTCCATTCTCTGGAGCCCTGGGACCGCCTGGTGACTGGTTGTTGCCCCTGCAGGGCTTGCAGCAACTCCAGTATGACCACCAAAGTGGCTAACTGCTATGAGAACCCAGAGATCATAGCTTCCCAGCAGTTGTGAAAAGAGGGTACCATAGTCCATCTGCCCAGCTCCACCAGCTTCAGGGCGTTGGAGGCTGGATAGACCGCCTGCTAGTCTTCCCTGGGGGCAGAGGGGAGGGGCTCAACCTGGACTTTCTAGACTCCTGTATGCCATTCTTTGCAAATAAATGACGCTGTTACCAAGGAGTGTTGACCTTCTCTCCCAGATAATGCTGCCTGAGGAGGTACGGATCCCAACAGAGTTGAGGTGGGCAGACTGGACCATGCTGCCCCTAGCGGAAACTCCCAGGGTTCCCCATAAGCTGCAGCTTGTTTATTTCTGTGGTGGCTGGTGACAGCCGGTTTACAGGAGGCCTTCGGGCCGGGGGCTGTCTGGGAAGGCTCAGCAGAACAGAGAGCCCAAGTTCACGTTGAGAGGGAGACCCGAGATCCATTCACCAGGTGATGGGTGTGAGGGAGCTACAGTACAGTATATGACTGTTACCGAGTTGTTCCAGAGGCTCGGCTTTCGCCCTGCCCCAAAGCTCGATCAGGCACAGTCTCCCTGGCCGCCAGAGGGCACCCTTCCTCCTGCTGAGATCCTAAACAGCACCCTCCCTCCACCACCTTGGTGCCCAAACTTGTCCAGGAAGCCTGCTAGGACTTGCCCATCTAGGTGAAAGGGCTAGACACCATTTTCTTTGCCTGAGTGCCTAGGGAAGGCCCTGGGAGAGGATGGGGCCCTGGTGGGGGCTCCTGCCCTCTTCCCCCGTGCCTCCGACAGGCGGTCTGGTTTTCAAACAGGAAGGCTTGTCCTGTAGCCAAAAGGTAACTGGACACCGGAGAAGAGGCAGAGGCCTCTCACCACTTCCTACAGCTTAAGGCTGCTCACAACCCTACCTCCTGCCCTGCCCTACACAGTACCCCCCAAAGCCACCCAAAACTCAGGCACTGGGTTATAGCAATGGGACCCACAGAAGAGCTGACTCTGGACTGGACAGGGATACCCACTGGCCTCTCATTTATAGCTTTCAGGCATGTCCAGTCTTTTGACACTGAGGCACGGCATTGTCATCGCAAAGCGCTTGACCTAGAACTGCAGGACTGACTTACAACAAACAAAACTTTCAGTGTTTTAAGCCAGCCCACTGGTTTGAGTTGTTTCATTTATAACCACCCTTGCCCACATCTGTGTGAATTTTCTTGGCCCAAAACCTTTCACAGCACCTCTTCCCCAACCTCCAAGTTTGCCTAGCCAGACGCTGTGGGTCAACGGTATGGCCTTCAGGGAGATGAAGCCTGGAGAGCCTCTAGGGTACTATCCTGGCTTCTGCATGCGTGCCTCAGTGTGTGTGTGTGTGTGTGTGTGTGTGTGTGTGTGTGTGTGTGTAACATTTATTTAGATTTATGTGTTTTATGTGTGTATTTCTGTTGTTGTTTTTTTGTTTTGTTTTGTTTTTTTGGCTGTGTGTATGTATGTGCGCAGCTTGTGCCTGGTGCCACTGGAAGTCAGACGGTGTCAGACCACCTTGATGGATGGATGGTTGTGAACCACCACGTAGGTATTGGGGTACAAACCTGGGCCCTCTACAAGGGCAGCAAGCCTTCTTAACTGCTGAGCCATATGTCCAGGCACCTTTGTATTTTCTGGTTCCCTTCAGCCCTCCACATACATTGTGGATGTCTCTATGGCCCTTTCTGTGTCTTAGAACAACCCAGGGCCTCCATACCCATAGCCTCTAATGTCACCCAAGTTCTGTGCCCTCCCCTGCCCCAACTCTTAGGCTTCCTGGGCCTGGGAATTCATTCTGTCTATCAAGAGAATTGACGGCCTGCTCTGGGAGCCGAGCACTTGTGGAGATGAACTCCAGCACAGACAGAGCACGGTCTGTGCATGTAGCCTTAGTTCACCCACTCTGGTGACTGATTGATTGATTGCAGGGTGCTTTTACACAGCCTCGCCGTGTTCTGTGATGTTCCAGAGGAGGGGCTGAGCCAGACCGCTTCCCTGGAAGATCCGCTGAGGGAGGTCAGTGAGGCCTCGTCCGCAGGGGAAACACCTTGGCACCGCTCCTTCCGGGGTGAGGGAAGGCCTTCCACAAAAGCTGACCACAGGGTCCTTTAAGGCCGCAAAGACTGTCTGCCTGCCGCTCCTGCCTGGCAGCAATGCACCCTCCCACTGGGACCATGGCCACCAGTAAACAGAGCCTTCCTTGTGCGCCTCCGGCAGCTGCAGGCTGGGGAGGGAGGGCAGGCACCCAGCGCTCCCACAGCCCATTTTGCCTTGCTTCCCAGCTCTCCTGGCGGGCTTTGTGCACGTCCTCTTAGGCTACAGGCTCCGGACCTTCTTGTCCTACAGGGCCTTCTTTCTCACTGGGACAAGGGGTACTCTGGGTTCACGGTGAAGATCTACAGTTTCTTCCCTTATCAGCTGTGGGTAGCTGCTGTCCTTCGTGGGCTTGTGTTAAAGAGCCCCCACAGTCTTTTGCTATGTCATTTGTACCTGTTGCCCAGCTTGGGACTCAAACATCTCAAAGAAAAGCCCTGGCAGCTCTTTGTGCTAAAAACTCGGAGCCTCTGCTCCCTTCGCGGATATGAATGTGCTGGCTTTGACATTCTAGTGGTTAAGTCCACTGCTTGGCAGCCAGGCTACTTCTCAAGGGTGAGTCAACTCAGAAGATACTCTGGGCATTGAGATAACTCTCAGCGTGCCCAAAAGTAACCTGGTGTGCCTCACACACATCTAGCCTTCCTGAGGTACAGGTTCTGTCAGTGTAGTCAACAAAGCCCCCTTTCTGAACAACCCTTCTGGGGAGGGGACAGGTCTTGGTAGAGAGTAGCACACTGGTTAGAACGGTAAAGTGAACAATGGGACTCCATCCAGCAGAATGCTGCTGCTTTGGATATAGGATTCTGCTTGTCCTGGTGATTTTTCTTTGTGACACTGTTGGTCACCGGATACCACAACTAATGGGGATTGCCTAACACCCTTAGTTTTGGAGGTAGTTCATACCAAAAACTTGGTGGCTAGTCTGAAACGAACCCCATAGTGTAATATTTCTTTTAAAAAAAGTTACAAAGTCAGGCATTGGAAGGCCTGTGAATCCTTGCATTGTCGAGGCTAAGGCAGAATTCCCTTACATTGAACTCCAGGTTACAGGGCTAGAAGACCCTGCCTCGTATGAAATGACGGCGCAGAGAAACAACAGAACTAGACTGCTTCCATGGGCAGAAAGATTTATTGAGGATCAAGCTGCCAAGGCCACTGTGGGTGAGGGGGAAAAGACCAAATGGCAGAAAAGGATAGATTCAGAACTACGTGCCCTTAGCAGTTTATATTGTGGGGAAGGCTAAGGGAGGTAGTTCCTGGTGAACCGAAAACACCTTAAAAGATCTACTTTTCTAGTAAACAGAAACCTTTTTAGGTTTGTTTCCTGACCAAGTTCTGTTCAGGACAATGTCAGCACTGCAATGCTGAGGGTAGCGGGGCTTTGAACCTGACACCTCAAGGGGGGAAAAAACCAGAAACATATAAATGTTATTATTCTCTAAGTGATCCATTACAGGGCAGGGACTTGATTTAACGTCTATACGCTTGTTCGTTTGTTTTTCCCTCTCATAGAGTCATGGCCAGGCATGCCCGGCCCTGCAGTCTCCATGCAACTCTGTGCGCACTTGGAGCAGAGGCTCCAAGGAGACCGGCTCCAGGCCAGCTGGTTTCCACAACACGGAGCACAGCCGAAGGGGCGGAGCGAGGGCCCTCCCGGGAACAAACAGACCCCGCGCCTGCCCAGTGCGTCCCGGGAGGACCCAGCGCCACCGCCGGAGCTTATTATGGTTGCTGTTTCATGGCTGCAATCCGCCTCAGCTTGGAAGCCCCCAAATTGGACCTCCGCGTGTACCGAACAGCAATCCCTTAGGCTCCTTTCTCTCCCCAGCAGCAGCGCCAGGACCCTCATACTAAGCTGAGCACCCAAAACTCTGAAAAAACACCCCCTCCCTCTCAGCCGGAAGCTTGCGTTCCACGTCCCGCCCGCGCGCTGCACTGCGGCGGTTACCAGGACGCCAACCCAGCGCAGCCAATAGTGTCAGGTTTTTGGCGGGCTCCCAGAAGGCAGCCAATGGGGGTGCAAATCAATCATTTGAAACAGCCAATGAATTGAGCACTGCGGCTCCAGGGCGGGGATTGTGATAGGGCGAACCCTAGCCAGGACGGACCAATAATGAGCGTGTATCGTTGGGAAGGCGGGCCCTAGAGCGTCCGATTGACGGAAAAATAGCCAATCAAACAAGGGTACTTCTTAGCCTCGTTCTGGGGGCCCAATCCTAGCCTGGCGAAGGCGGGCCATAAGGGGTATATAAATGCTGGTAGAGCGTCGGTTGTAGCACTCTGTGCGCCTGCTGCTCCCGACTTGTTTCTCCTCTGCAGCCGCTCCGCAGTCGCCGCCGCCATGAGGGAGATCGTGCACCTGCAGGCTGGGCAATGCGGCAACCAGATTGGCGCCAAGGTAGGTGCCTAGGGCTCTCGGGACGGACGGCAGCGGTGCGGTCAGTCGGGAAAGATGGCGGAAGCGGCTGCGCCCTCACTGCGTCCTGGATACCGGCGTACACTGGGCCGGGACGTAGAGCCGGTGGCTGGTGGCGGTGGGGGCGGATCGTGCGCGGCCCTAGGGACCCGTCTCCAGGGCGCTTTGGAGACAGAAGTGGGGTGGGGTGGGGGGGAAGGGCCTGCCGCACCCATCCGGGGCGGGGCTGCCTTGGAGCGCACCGGCCGCCGTGACTCAGCTAACGCCCGAGTCCCTTGCAGTTCTGGGAGGTGATCAGCGACGAGCATGGCATTGATCCCACCGGCACGTACCACGGAGACAGCGACCTCCAGCTGGAGCGTATCAACGTGTACTACAACGAGGCCACCGGTAAGACTCCTCTGCCCGTCCACCCTCCCGACCGTTCCTCGGGTTTGACCACGCTTTGACGGCCCCCTGTCTCACCAGGTGGCAAGTATGTGCCCCGTGCCGTGCTCGTGGACTTGGAGCCCGGCACCATGGACTCAGTGCGCTCCGGGCCCTTCGGGCAGATCTTCAGACCTGATAACTTCGTGTTCGGTGAGTGCGGTGGGGGGTGTGGGTGGAGCTTTGCTACCCGTGCGGCTCAAAGGTCAAGGGGCTGACCCGGCTGACTAGCTGCCCAGGTGTAACACCTTCCTGCCCTCTGAGTCACACAATCCCTTGGTCGAAAGCAGCTTGGGAAAATGTCTAACTGTGCTGGTGAGCAACCCTGCCCCGGTGGCAGGGGGCCCTGTGCCGTGTTTGAATATTGGCAGGGATGCCTAGGGAAGTGTTTACTGTCCTAGCTCGGTTTTATTTATTTACTTATTTTGCATGGCGGGTTGCTGTGGTGTCACCAGGGGTCTGTTGACTTCCAGGGATGACAACCGCACACCCGTTTGGCCCCTTGGGCACATGACTAGTGAGTGACCAGCCGTTTTCTCTTACAGGTCAGAGTGGGGCTGGGAACAACTGGGCCAAGGGGCACTACACAGAAGGCGCAGAGCTGGTTGACTCGGTGTTGGACGTTGTGAGGAAGGAAGCAGAGAGCTGTGACTGCCTGCAGGGCTTCCAGCTGACCCACTCCCTGGGTGGGGGGACTGGGTCTGGGATGGGGACCCTCCTCATCAGCAAGATCCGGGAGGAGTACCCAGACAGAATCATGAACACCTTCAGTGTGGTGCCTTCCCCCAAGGTGTCGGACACAGTGGTTGAGCCCTACAATGCCACCCTTTCAGTGCACCAGCTTGTAGAAAACACAGACGAGACCTATTGCATTGATAATGAAGCACTCTATGACATCTGCTTCAGAACCCTAAAGCTGACCACTCCCACTTACGGTGACCTGAACCATCTAGTGTCCGCCACCATGAGTGGGGTGACCACTTGCCTGCGATTCCCTGGCCAGCTAAACGCTGACCTGAGAAAGCTGGCCGTGAACATGGTTCCCTTCCCTCGCCTGCACTTCTTCATGCCCGGCTTCGCCCCCTTGACCAGCCGGGGCAGCCAGCAGTACCGTGCCCTGACGGTGCCCGAGCTCACCCAGCAGATGTTCGATGCCAAGAACATGATGGCCGCCTGTGATCCCCGCCATGGGCGCTACTTGACAGTGGCTGCTGTGTTCCGGGGCCGCATGTCTATGAAGGAGGTGGACGAACAGATGCTTAATGTCCAAAACAAGAACAGCAGCTACTTTGTTGAGTGGATTCCCAACAATGTGAAAACAGCTGTCTGTGACATTCCACCTCGGGGTCTAAAAATGTCTGCCACCTTCATCGGCAACAGCACCGCCATTCAGGAGCTGTTCAAACGCATCTCTGAGCAGTTCACAGCCATGTTCCGACGCAAGGCTTTCCTGCACTGGTACACGGGTGAGGGCATGGATGAGATGGAGTTCACTGAGGCTGAGAGCAACATGAATGACCTGGTGTCCGAGTACCAGCAGTACCAGGACGCCACGGCTGAGGAGGAGGGAGAGTTTGAGGAGGAGGCAGAGGAGGAGGTGGCCTAGAGCTGTCTTAAGCAGCTAAAGCATGGGAGCAGTGTGAACTCTTTATTCTTTCACAGCCTGTCTGCTAGCCATGTCCACTGTGCATTTGCTGTCCCGTCCTGACATCACTTGTACAGATACCACCATTAAAGCAATTCATAGCGTGTGTCTTCGCCTCTCCAGTTCCTTCTGACAGGCTTTTCGGGTGCTATTACCGAATGTCAGTGCATAGTTGTCCTGCATGGCTGCAAGGGAGAAAGGGGTAAACTGAGTACCTGGGATTAGCACAGTGGAGAGGTCAGTGCAGGCTACCAACAACAGCAACTTCTGTAGGATCTTGAGTTTGCCCTTAAGACGAGGCATGGAGTAACCTTGCTACCTTTGTTAGTTTTAACGGGGAGGGCTGGTGAGCCCCACACTGACTGGGTAGTTAATCTAAGGCCACACTGGGACTCTGGTCAGTGGGCCAACAGCTGATTATCAGCAAATGTGGCAGGTAAAGCAGGACCACAGCCATTGGACCCTGTCATAGGTTTGGTGTGTAGTATAATCTTGTCCTTTGAAGTGGGTATGGGTACTCACATGGGATGAAGCCCATGTAGAAAGGAATCAGGCCTTGGCTTCTGTAGATGGTGGTGTTTGGCCAGTGAGTCCTGGGTAGCCTTTCACCCAGAGCACAGACTGGGTTTTTGAACATGAACTGCAGAAACGGATATGTGCTGACAAGGGCTGCCTTCCCAGATAGGTGACTAAGATCCTGCTTCTAGGAGTTTTGACTGACCGCCCAACACCCCCACCCTCCCACCCCTTAACTAGGATAGGTAATCCGACCTTGTTAGGATGTGGAGGTCCTAAGCCTCAAACTTGGCCTTAAGGATGACCCCTGGGAGTAGATGCTTACAGGTGGGAGTGGAGCAGAGCATTCCTAGCCGAGGCACCTGGAGGAAGGCTAGGCCCATGCTTTCCTACCTGGTTCTTGTCAAACTCATCCATGGCTTGTGTGACTCCATCACGGTAATTCATTCCCATCACCCAGGCAAACCGGGGGACAAAGCCAGCATACCCTGGAGATGGGTGGGTGTCAGGGAAGAATTCTTCCCTGGCTGCCTTCTGGGCATAATGTACACTCTGCCTGGTGTATCAGAAATGTTGACCTCCTTTATCCCTGAACATTTAGCTGTTAAGCCCCTTCCATCCCTAAAGGTTGGTTGCTGACTCTTGGGGCCAGACTTAACTCCTCATGGGAGCAGCTGGGCTGGATCAAGTTAAGAAGTGAAGCCAAACCCTGTTGTTCTCACCATCTCATCTGGAACCTCATGGGGAACAGCTCAAGCACCCAGCACGTACCTGAGATGGCCTTGCGTTGAATTAGGTTGGGGTGGTCTAGCTGAGGTAGTCGCTGGAACCTGCCCACATCTAGTGTCTCCTGCTGGGGATGTGGAGGCAGGAACTCGTCCCTCCTGCAGTGGTATAGCTGGAACAGGGAAGCATAAAATAGGACACAGCTTCCACCTGAGTTGTTGGGGGAAGACAGAGGCCCCAGGCCAGGGGGTCTCCGCTTACCTGGTACCTCCCCGGGGTCTCCTGAAGAGGTGCTGCATTTTTCCAGGCCTCTTCCCCATATGCCATCAGTAGACCTGGGTGTCCTAGGTCTTTAGCTTCTGCCTTTCTGCCCGGAGGAAATGGTGGGTAGGGAGGATAAGGCATGAAGTCTGCAGGTAGTGGAACCTCTCTGGATATGTTCTCCACCGGTGGCGGCCCCTGGGTGTTCATCTCCTGTCGTGGGACCTGGCCCAGGATCTCAAAATTCTTGTAGGGTTTCAGACCTGTACAGACAGGGCAGCTCTTGAGCCATACAGGAGGAGGGTGGGGCCCCAGTGGAGGCGGGGTTGGGTGGGGTCTCACCCTGGCCCTGAGCTCACTGGTATAGTGGGGGATGTAAGGCTCTGTCAGGTCCCTGCAGGGAATCCATGGTGGCTTAGACTTGCTGAAGTCCTCGATGAACTTGGGCTTGGACATAGGTGACAGAACAGAGCAGGGGCTCTTCTGTACGCTGGGGTCTGTGAGCAACTGCGCAGTGGTGCGGCCATAGGTGTTCCCCACCTGGTAGCGCAGTTGAGGGTAGAAACCAGCATAGCTGTGGAGAGAATCAGGGGAGATGCCACTCCTGCCTGTTAATTAGCAGGCACTGAACCTGACCGGGCAGGTTACCTGACCTCTGCTCACTTTAAATGAAGGTAATGGGAGCGCCCGCACTTTCTGGGACTCCAAGAGGGTAGCATGTGCCAAATCTTGACAAGGCACCAGGAATTCACTACTATGAGATTACCCTCCACAGCGGACCCGAACACCCATCGAGTCTCTCATTTCATGTGCATAGATGTATGCATGCATGTGTACCACGTGTGTGTCTAGTGCCTGTGGAAGTCACAAGGGGGTCTCCTGGAACTGGAGTTACAAATGGTTGTGAAGCTACCTACCATGTGGATGCTGAGACCTGAACGCTAGCAAGTGCTCTTAACAGCAGAGCCATCTCTCCAGCCTGGCACCCAGCCATTCCCAACACTCCATCCCTCTCCCCACTGACGCCTCCAAAAGCCACCAAGGTGAAAGGAGGTATAGGCTGTTCAGTTCCCCCCTATTTTACGTGCTTCCACATAGCACTCGAGTCTGGGTAGGTATGCACACACACTTTCTTTGGAGGTTTTTGATTTTATTTTTTATTTTGCAGCGCTGGAGATTAGACTCAGGACTTTGTGTGTGCATGGTAGACACCCTACCTCTGCATAGAACCTTGTCTATTTTTGTTTTTAACTGGACTACACTTACTCCATCTCTAAATTATCTCTTCTATGGAGAGAACGTCCTGCCTTTGCTTATCCAGTCTCTGCCAAAGTGTGTGGCTGCTGTAGTTTTTGCCCTTGCCAGACACTCTGGCCCTCTAGTACTGCACTCCGGGAGGGACAAGACCCAGGCCTTCATCTGCAGCTCCACCTCTGGGATTTCCTGTCCCAGAGCTCCTTAACTCTGGTGTTCTATTCCATTCCTTGGTAACTCTGGCTTTGGGTCTCTTCAGCATTGGTCCTCAGCCTCCTGCAGTCCAGGTTAAACCCCAGCCCTACTGCTCATCCCTCTCTCCCAAGCCCAATGTCTCTGAAGAGCTCCCAGCTCTTACCCAGGGATGTAGTGGGGTTCTGGAGTGAAGAGGTTGTGTTTCTGAGTAGCTGTCATTTTCTTTGACTCTGCTCTTGGTGGTTCAGCCCTTTGTGGTCCACCTTCTTTCCCTGAAAAGAGACCTGTTGCCTGGTAACCATTGTGAAGGGGCCAGCATTATGGACCCAGCCATCTGTTAACCCTGTGAGTGCTCCCAGTCTCACAGCATCTCTGGTTCAAAGACCAGCTAGGACGCTGCCCTGCACAAGGCAGGGCATCCTAGAAAAAAGCCCCACTCACCCAGAGCTCAGGAGCCAGAAATGGGAAGGGGTTGGACTCTCACTACTCCCCAACACCCAACTAACAGGCAGTCCCTGTGTCATGGTGGGGTTCTTTACCCTAGTCCTTCTCCACTGAAGAAGTCAGCACTGAGTCAGGTTTCCCAAATGACAGCTGTGCAGATTGTCCAATAGGCTTGTTCCCCTGTAGTAAGACATTAATTTCTATACTTAACAAATCCTCATTCTGGTTTTTGTTTGTTTTTTCCTGAGACAGGGTTTTTCTCTATTGTTTTGGAGGCTGTCCTGAAACTTGCTCTGTAGACCAGGCTGGCCTCAAACTCACAGACATCCACCTGTCTCTGCCTCCCGAGTGCTGGGATTAAAAGCGTGCGCCGACACCTGGCTTCATTCTGTTTTTTAATGTAGAAAAAACCTTCGGGGCTGGAGAGATGGCTCAGTGGTTAAGAGCATTGGCTGCTCTTTCAGAGGACCCAGGGACCCAGGTTCAATTCCTATGGCAGCTTACACCTGTCTAACTCCAGTTCCAGGGCTTTTGACACCCTCTCCTAGACATCTATGCAGGCAAAACACCAATGAACATCAACTGATTTTTGTTTTGTTTTGTTATTTGTGACAGGGTTTCTCTGTGGCTTTGGAGGCTGTCCTGGAACTAGCTCTTGTAGACCAGGCTGGCCTCGAACTCACAGAGATCCACCTGCCTCTGCCTCCTGAGTGCTGGGATTAAAGGTGTGAGCCACCACTGCCCAGCCTAAACTAAAAAAAATTTAGATGTAATTTATTTTGTATACAGTGTTCTGCCTGCATGTTTTCAGGCCAGAAGAGGGCATCAGATCTCCCTACAGATGGTTGTGAGCCACTATGTGGTTGCTGGGAACTGAACTCAGGACCTCTGGGAGAGCAGTCAGTGCTCTTAACCTTCAAGCCATCTCTCCAGCCCCTAAACTAAAAAATTTTTAAAAGCTTCCTTTGGAGCTGGTGAGATGGCTCAGAGGTAAAGAATGCTGTCGTGAAGGCTGACAGACTGAGTTCAACCCCAGGAACTCACCAAGTGAGAGAACCCATTCCTAAAAGTCGTCCTTGGCTTCCACTAACACACTCTAGCAAATAAAACTTTTTAATAACAAGAACCCTTTGCTTTTGCAGATATGTGCAGACATGTTCATATGTACACAGAGCCCAGTGGTTGTCTTCTATTGTTCTTCTAACACTTTTTTTTTCCTAAAGATTTTTATTTCTTATGTATACAGTGTCCTGCATGTATGCTTGCACATCAGAAGGGGGCACCAGATCTCATTATAGATGGTTGTGAGTCACCATGTGGTTGCTGGGAATTGAACTCAGGACCTTTGGAAGAGCAGGCAGTGCTCTTAACCACTGCGCCATCTCTCCAGCCTTATTTGTTTTCTTTCTTTTTTTTTTGTTTTTTTGTTTTTTGTTTTTTTTTTTTTGTTTTTCGAGACAGGGTTTCTCTGTAGCTTTGGAGGCTGTCCTGGAACTCACTCTGTAGACCAGGCTGGCCTCGAACTCACAGAGATCCGCCTGCCTCTGCCTCCCGAGTGCTGCCTTATTTGTTTTCTAAGGCAGGCTCTCTCATTGGTATCTGAGGCTTTACTGATGAAGCTAAGCTGGCCAGCCAGTGAGCCCAGGGAACCACCTGTCTGCACTTCCCCAGCAGTTGCTTTATGAAATAATTTTTTATTGTGTGTGTGTACACATGCACTCCTGTGGAGGTCTGAGGACAATTTTGGGGAGTTGCTTATCTCTTCCACCATGTGGGTTCTGGGGAGTCAACTCAGGCTTTGGTGGCAAGTGCCTTTATCCACTGAGCCAAGACAAGCCTTTCATGTGTGTGCTGGTGATTCAAATTAAAGTCCACACCCTTGCACAGAAAGCACAGCTGAGCTCTCTCCTTAGCTCCTAGAAAGAACTTTATAACCCTAAATGTGAATATATTATAAAGGGGAAAAATTAGCACATTCTACTCCCTGTCAAATCGGTATAAACAATAATGGACAGCCGACTAACATTTGCAACAGCTGCTGTGAACAGATACGTCCACATAAAAGACTCATGAAGGGTTAGAGAGATGGCTCAGAGGTTAAGACCGCTCTCCCAAACTACCTCAGTTTGACTTCCAGCACTCACATCAGGCATCTTGTGACTACCTACAACTAGCTCCAGGGGAATTCAACACCCCTGGCCTCTGTGGGCATCTGCACTCAAGTGCACATACCTACACACAGACACACATAGTTAAAATACTCGGGAGGCAGAGGCAGGCGGATCTCTGTGAGTTTGAGGCCAGCCTGGTCTACAAGAGCTAGTTCCAGGACAGCCTCCAAAGCCACAGAGAAACCCTGTCTCCAAAAACCAAACCAAACCAAACCAAACAAAACAAAATCTTATGAAATAAAACATTAAAAATTAACCCCCAATATTAAAATGCAAATATAAACACAAATGTTTGGAAACAAAACAAACCCACAGCTTCTAAACACAAAGGAGATATAGTTGTACCTGAATCAAATAAATGGTCAAATGCAGATAATGGCACTTTCTAATGTAGGTTGCTGAGGTACAGCTTCTGGAGCACAATTTGCTAATATAGATCAAGTCTAAACAAGATTCTGCTCCCACTACCCTAAAGAAATGCTGTGAAGCTAATAGCCAATGATACATGGTGATTGTGGTGGGGACTAGAGAGGTGTGTCAGCAGCTAGGAGTGCTTGCTATTGTAGAAGATCCAGATTCAATTCCCAGCCATGAGTAACTCCACTTCCAGGGGAATCTGACGGCCTCTTCAGACCTCCATATTACCAGGCTTGCGTGTGGTACACATTTAGGCAAAACACACATACACGTTAAATCATTCTTGAGAAAGAAAAGGTGCATGTGTGATACCATCACAACTACATCTATTTCTTGCTTGCTATGTAGCCCATGCTGGCTTTGAACTTGTAGCCATACTCCTGCCTCAACCTCCTAAAGGCTGGAGTTACAGGTGTGGGCCGCCATGCCCAGCTCCACAGTGTTATGAGTGTGTATGCTAGCGGCCAGAGGCTGATGTCCGGTGTCTTCCTCAATTGCTCCCCACCTTAGATTCTCTTTCATTCATTCATTCTTTTCTTTTCTCTCTCTCTCCTCCCCCCCCCCTCTCTCTCTGTCTCTCTGTCTGTCTCTCTCTCTCTGAAATATGGTTTTTCTCACAGAACTTAGAGTACTTCAGTTCAGGTCAACTGGCTGGACAGTGAACTCCTCCTTAATCTCCCTGGTGCTGGGGTTGCAGAGGCCACACTTGGATTTTGTGTGGATTCTAGGCATTCAACTCGGGTTCTGTTTGCACAGCAGGCACTTTGCTTATTTTTTTAAATAATTTATTTAACGTTATTTTATGTGCAGTGATATGAGATCCCCTGGAACTGGAGCTATAGACAGTTGTGAGCCACCATGTGGGTGCTGGGAATTGAACTTAGGACCCCTGGAAGAGCAGCCAGTGCTCTTAGCCACTGAGCCACCTGGCCAGCCCCATAGCACTATTTACTGCAGGGAGGAACTGGAGTCACCTAAAAGTCAGCAAATGCTTCTTCCTAACCCTACACGCCAGGTACCTTCACACCATCAATTACGTTCTCAAAGGAGGCGGCTCTGGGCAGCCTGTGATCCCTTTGTCCAGTCAAACTTGTTTCCTCACGTCTCCATCCATCTAGCCAGAGAAGTGTCAGTCAGGGCCAGTGCTACAGGGAGAGATCCAGAAAGGAAGCCCAGTCATGGTAGGACAGGGTTGGAGGAGGCTGGCTTTGTGGACAAGGTGTTTTTTGTCTGAGAGCTGCCTTGGAGGGGTTGGGGCCAAGGTCAGGGCTGGACGGTCAGACCAGCCAGTATCAGAGGCCACTCTGCAAGGGCCTTACAGATGCTGCTTGCTTCTTCAGGCTCGGTATTCCTTTGTATATTGTATAGACACAGCCCAGTGCATCTAATACATCCTGGCTTCTGTCCTCTGTGCCTTCAGGAAGAGGCAGAAGACAAGTGCTAGTAAGTAGCCCTGCCTGTACTGGCCTGACTCGGGAGCCAGGCTGAGTTATTTCGTTTTCCCATGCCAGGCTTTACTGCAGGGGCAGCAACCCCTCCTCTTCCTCCTGACCGTCTTTCCCCTATGAAATGGCCCTCACTCACACCCCTAGCCATACTGCAGGACTTGGCATGTACCCACATGCCCGGCCCTCTTCACCTACGGTGGGGCCCCAGACCTCCCAGCAGTACTGCTAGAGTGGACTCAAGCTTCTGGGAGAGGAAAAAGGGGTTGGGACAGGTTAGAGCCTGTTTTGACCAAAGCTGACCTGGGTGACGATCTCGGTAGGTAGGGAGGGGCCAGAGGATGGAGACCTTGTAGGAGAGCCCCTTCTGATCTGACGATGTTCCTTTTCTAGGGACTCCCCAGCAACAGAGGGGAGGGGCATGACCTAACAGTGAGGTCACAGAACCCAGCAGTGCCCTTTGGCAAGAGAACCCCAAGACCTAGAATGAATTTTGACCAGAAGGCTGTGAAATTCTTGGCAAATTTTTACATCAATGGAGGCAAACACTGGACTCGGGGTCCCTTGAGTCAGCAACCTCTTCACGCCACCCAGTAATTTCGGAGGGTGGCAGACAGGTGGGGACTCGGGGGGGAAAGACCCCAGGGACAGACGGCACAGTGGTTGCTGGCATCTTTGCAGGCCTGAGACTACTGCGCTATGGTGGGACCAGGAGCTGGAGGCAGCCTGGGATGACATGTGGCCCCCAAAGACGAAGAGGGCCCCAAGTGGCTTCAGGTTAAGAATGGACACCCCCAAAGAGCCCACAGGGACCCTGAGGGAGCTGTGTGAGTGAGATTCTTGGCTACCTCGCTCCCGCCCCAGGCCAGTATGGGGAGGGATAAGATGGAAGCAGCTTTGTGGGAAGAAATGGGTCTAGAGCTCGCTTTTTGCACCAGTGCTGGAACGACGCCCTCCGATCCTGACTGACCTGGATGTCCCTGGCCCTACCAAGTATGAGGTGCCCAGTGCGTCTCTGCGGGAGAACTCTCCACATCCGCAGTACACCATGGGCCACAAGTACCCTGGCCGAGGTGCCTATCCCCACAACCCTGCCTATACCTGGGGAATGGGGGCCTCCTGCCCTGAAGACCTTCCCACCAACTCTCCGCCCCACTGCAGAGGGTGGTGGCCGCAGGGCATGGCAGACCATGTGGCTCCAGAGTGAAAGCCCCTTTACGCAGAAGACTGACTTCAATCGAGAGCGAAAGGTAGAGACACTGTGTGGGCCAGGTGGAGGAAGGGTGGAAGAAGGTGGTTAGGGGCCGCCTTGCGGAAGGTGGGGGTGTTGCAGGAGGCGAGGAAAGGAGGGGCCAGGGGGCTTGTGGGAGGGGCTTGAGGGAGGAGCTACGTGGCTGGGCTTGGTGATGGGCGGAACCAGGGGGATCAAAATCAAAAGCAGTGGTCAGGCCTGGAGGATTGGATAAAGCTGGGTAAGGAAGTTGCAGCCCCGGGTAGCATCGCGACTCCTTACAGTGGCCATCGCCCGCCGAGTATAGGCCGCTGAACCAGCCCGCCTTCCCGGCCTTCAGCTTTGGAGGCCGCCGCCGCTCTGTGGTCAAGATACCCGAGAGTCATTTACGCCCAGGGATGCTCCGAGACCGAGGTCCTTTTGTCTATACCCCGCTCTTGGCTGCCTCACCGCGCTCTGGCGAGAAGCGACCTAGCCCCAACACCTATGACATCCTTCCCGGGTGTCGTCTGCAGAGTACACGCTCACCTGCCTTCTCCATGAGTCGTTCCCCTGCGTTTGCCTCCTGGGTCAGCTCCTGTAAGGAGGCCTAGGAAAAGAGGCTTGGCCTGCCTGAGGGCGGAGTGGGGCTTGGGCTACATGGCAAGGGGGGATGCTGGGATGAGAACTAGGGTCACCTTACTCTCTCTGCAGCCCGAACCCCAGGTCCTGCTGCCTACTACGTGGAAGACTGCTACAACTCACGATTTCCATCTCAGCCCGGAGTAGTCATCCAAGGAGTGCGCAGACCCAAGCGTCATGACACAGGCCCCTTCTGCACACTGTAGGCCCATCGGGTATAGATTGCAAAGCTGACCTCCCTTAAGGTTTTCCTAGGCTGCTTTTGAAACTCTTTGTCTGCAGTTTATGACCCTCGAGACACCCCTCACCCACTCTTCTGGCTTATGCTGTGCAAAAAGAAGAGTCTTCCCGGAGCCTTCCTCTCCCCACTATACTGAGATGCAAATGATTCTTCTGAACTGTGGTCTCTGGTGTGCCTGGTTGCCCATCCTTTGCTCAGTGGGCTGTTTTGAATATGTGGCTTCCTGCTTCCCTGGTATTGCTGGCTTACTCTGCCCCTGCATGGTGCTCTTTGCTTCAGGGTTGAAATGGCAGCCTGGGAACTAACCCCAGGCTTCCTGACCCAGGCAGTGGTGGTGCACACCTTTAATCCGAGTACTCAGGAGGCAGAGGCAGACAAATCTCTGTGAGTTTGAGGCCAGTCTGGTCTACAGAGTGAGTTCCAGGACAGCCAGAGTTGTTACAAAGAGAAACCCTGCCTCAAAAAAACAAACAAAACAAAGAAGTGCATCATTACTGAGTGTGGCACCACAAGCCTTTAATCCCAGCAGTCAGGAGGCAGAGGCAGGGGATCTGAGTTTGAGGCCAGCCTGGTCTAAGTAGTAACTGTCTCAAAAAATACACCATCAAGCCCAAACCAGAACTCACTTAAGAAGTGATTTCATTTATGTGTATGAATATTTTGGTGTTTTGTATGTGCCACATGTATGTCTGGTGCTTGTGGGGGTGAGAAGAGGACATCAGATCCCCGGAACTGGAGTTATGGATAGTTATGAACCACCATGTGCATGCTGGGAACTAAACCCAGGGGGTCCTTGGCAACAGTAACAAGTGTTCCTCCAGAATCCTGTTTTTGTTTTTTTTATTTATTATTAATGTGTATCACTGCATTCACATGGAAATCAGAGAACTAGAACAACATCAGCTCCAGGGATCCGACTGAGGCCTTCAGACACGGCAACAAGCACTCTTACCCACTGAGCCGTCGTGCCATCCTCAGAGAGCTTGCTCTTGCCGTCTCTGCCCCAGCTGCTGCCTTGGTGTCAGCACCGCCTCCTTTTGCAGGTGGAAGCCTTGGACCAAGACTCTAATACCCTGTGTTCGTATCTTCTGACCACACCAGATGGTGGCTGAACCAAAATAACCTGGGGAATTGGGGGCCTTTACCACGGGGCCCTACAAGGAGCCGCTCAGCTGGCAAAAACAGCGGCACAGGTGTGCAGTCCGGGCCTTAGGAACTCGACCTCAGCGGGAGTAGGAGCTCTGTTTACAGGCACATCACCAGGTGTCCTAGTGCCAGGGCATTTGAACAGAAGCCATCACCCTTCAGTTGGGCTGAGGGCCCCACAAGATGTCTGCCTAGGACGTCCTAGAGGAGGCAGTAAGAGAAGCGGCTTCCAACGGGCAAGCATGTGGTGGGCAGCAGGGAGGGAATTTGCATCAGAGTAAGTAAGCCTCAGCAGCAAAGGCACACGAAAAAGAGGGGTGCGGTGTTTGGGGGTGTGCAGTAGGCTGGTGGGATAAGGGGTGAGAGTTGGAACAGTGGGGAGGCTGCAGAGAGCTAACTGCTGAACCCAAGAGCTCACACACCAAACAGCTTGAGAGCCCTTGCGCCCAAGTTAGCCTCTTTTACTGACAAGGACAAGGGGCACTGTGGCCTGGACTACAGCTCAAATCTCAATCTGTGCATGCCCACAATGAAGGAGTAGTTCCCACTACATATCCAGGGCTCTTGCAAAGCACCCCTGGCACTACTAGAGGCATATTCAGATTTCAGTCCAAATGAAGGCAATGGTGGGAGCTTTGTAAAGATTACACAAGAAAAAAAATTCTCAACATCAAAAGAGTGCTATATCGACAGTCATATAAAAATGTACTTGGATACAAGTCAGTTTTGCAATTCGTAAGGTAGGCGTTTCTGCCACACATCCAGAGGCTTGCTACCACCCTTCGCTGCTCCTCTGCTGGCTCAGAGCGTGGGTTCTGGTGTCTAGAGCTCAGACGAGGTGAAAAGCGGAAGATTTCAGGGCACTGGTGGTGGCTAGAGTGACCAAGGCCTCTTGCGAGGTGGTTGCGTCATCCCGACTCCGCCCCTTGCGCACAGTCTCACTCTTACTGGGTAGCAAGTCGCTGCCCGGAACCTGCGCGTGGTGGCGGCGTTTTCCCGGGACCTATTGGGTGCTGGACCAAGGCAGTGAAGGGCGGAAGTGGGAGGTGTGGACCGGTGCAAGCGACTCTGCTGAGATCTGGCCACGCTGGAGGCTGCGGGCGAGCGGAGTTCGGGGGGTACCCGTGGCACCGTGGAGAGGGCTTCTGGTGCTCCTTCGGTGTCCTCGACGGCTCCAGGGGAGCGCGGCGGGGATGGGGTACACAGCCGGGCGGCAGCCGGAGCCTCGGCCATGTTCGCGGGGCTCCAGGACCTGGGCGTGGCCAATGGCGAGGACCTGAAAGAGACCCTGACCAACTGCACCGAGCCGCTCAAGGCCATTGAGCAATTTCAGGTGGGCAGGAGGGGGCCGGGCCGCTGGGGAAACCGGACACAATTCTGCGCTCTCCCTGCCCTAGGATGGAGGCACTGGAGGTCCTGAGCTAGGAGCCCACTGAGTAACAGTGTTTTTCCCTTTTTCGCGGTTACCACCGCGGATTCGTGTACTCAGGGCATCCATGGTACCTGTGCTGAGTTGGCCGCGGCCAAGCAAAATGCATACGCGTTGACCCTCTGCTTTCCCAGACAGAGAATGGGGTGCTGCTGCCCTCCCTGCAGTCGGCCCTGCCTTTCTTGGACCTACATGGGACACCGCGGCTGGAGTTCCATCAGTCAGTGTTTGATGAGCTTCGCGACAAACTGCTGGATCGAGTGTCAGCTATTGCCTCCGAGGGAAAGGCAGAGGAGAGGTGGGTCTCTACTCGGGAGCTGCTTATCTTTTTTTTTTAAGATTTTTTTTATTTATTAATTACATATACACCAGATTGAATTGTAGATGGTTGTCAGCCACCATGTGGTTGCTGGGAATTGAACTCAAGACCTCTGGAAGAGCAGTCAGTGCTCTTAACCTCTGAGCCATCTCTCCAGCCCAAGGGAGCTGCTTATCTTTGTGGGTAGCAGTTATTCCTCCCCCCCATCCCCGCCCTATGCCTGCACAGTCGTACTTGTAAATACAACCTGGAATGTGTTGGAGGAGATTCCTCTGTATATCCTGCGTGTGGAGACCCACTTTCTCAGCTGTTCAAATCTGCCCAGGTACAAGAAGCTGGAAGACCTTCTGGAAAAGAGCTTTTCTCTCGTCAAGATGCCATCCTTACAACCAGTGGTGATGTGTGTTATGAAACACTTGCCCAAGGTGAGAGTTGGGAAGCCAGCCCTCCCGGGGGGAGGTCAGTGAGCCTGCCATACATACTGCTTGGCTAGCCTGCCCCATACCCTTGATTGGTGGAGGTCAGACTATCATCTTAGCTCCTGGAAAGTTTTAGGGACTTGCCCTCCAGCAAGCTCTGGGCACTTTCTCTGTATCACAGACTTCCCTTGGATGAGCCAAATGGAAACACACTTATCTCTTGAGTTGGAGGGTGGGTCTTTCCTGGGAATGGTCCGTAGGGATTCTGGATGTCCGAATTCACCTGCTAAGACTTGGAGGTCCATCACAGGTGCCTCTGTTGCTGTGGCTGGGCTCTACAGGCTCTGTAGGCAGCTGAGGCCTCCTGGCCTGTGGTGAGGGAGACTTGGGGGCACGGGCACCACTTGCAGGGAGCTGTGGTGTTTGCTATGTAGGTTCCCGAGAAGAAGCTGAAGCTGGTGATGGCTGACAAGGAATTGTACCGAGCGTGTGCGGTGGAAGTGAAGAGGCAGATCTGGCAAGACAACCAGGCGCTCTTTGGTGATGAAGTCTCACCGCTGTTGAAGCAGTACATCCTGGAGAAAGAGAGTGCGCTCTTCAGCACAGAGCTCTCTGTCCTGCACAACTTCTTCAGCCCTTCTCCCAAGACCAGGCGCCAGGGAGAGGTAAGAAGTCAGGATGAGGGCGATAACTGTCAGGATGTGTGGCCAGCCCCTCCCTTGCCTCTTCCCTGCGAGTGTGAGCACTAGTCTGTTTCTGTAAGCATGGGCTTGTATTAACTGGGAAAAGGTTGGTTGGCAGAAAGTTGAGGCAGGAGGATTGCTGTGAGTTTGAGGCCCATCTGAGTAACGTAGCAGATATCCTCTCAAAAATATAAAAAACACTGAATTCAACTTTTTTACTTTTTTTTTTTTTTTTTTTTTGGTTTTTCGAGACAGGGTTTCTCTGTGGCTTTGGAGGCTGTCCTGGAACTAGTTCTTGTAGACCAGGCTGGTCTCGAACTCACAGAGATGCTCCTGCCTCTGCCTCCCGAGTGCTGGGATTAAAGGCGTGCGCCACCACCACCTGGCCCGTCTTGTCAGTTCTTAAGTCAAGACTTTATAACTAGCTTACTATAGGCTAGCACTGGTCAGTAGAAAGATAGTGAGTTCTGTAAGCCATTCATATTTTCCTAGTATCTACTTTGACAAAAGTAGATGAGGTCAGCCGGGTTTTAAGGCTCCGCTGTGGGTGTTGGTGGCTGCCATGTAGGAGGGACTTGTGGCTCCTGCCTTTCTTTCCCTGTGCTTGCTCACTCTTTCCTGAACGTTCCTCCTTCCTTCGTTGTCAGGCAGAACAGGCTCCCTCTGCTCCCCGGCCTTTCTCCCACCTCCCGTTTCTTCTAGTGATTGACCACAGACAGCACTCGTTTCTGACTGGTGGAGGACTGCCTGACTGGCCTTGTCTTGGGCTGATTTTTTTTTTAAAGTTGTATTCCTATGTATATAAGCTCAAAGGGAAAACTGTCCAGAGGAGCAGGAAAGTATGTAGGGACAGAATGGGAAGATGCTTTCGAGGTAAGATTATTTGGAAGAAGATCTGAGTTTGAATCCCTAACACTCATAAAGAAGTCCAGGGTGGCCACAGGTTCCTGTGACCCCCATGCTGGAAGGGACAAGACAGAGTCAGGAGAAATCACTGGGCTTGCTGGCCTGCCAGTGCAGACAGAAACAAACAAAACCTGTTGAGCTGCAGTCTAGTGAAGAATCCCGTCTCAAGTATATAAGGTAGAGAAAGGTAGAACAGGTTTTTGCAAGTGTGGGCTCAGGTGTACACTTTCCGGTTGTCTAGCTCTCTGTCTGGTGCCCAGTGACATGCTGGCTTCTTCCTGGTTCTTCTGCCTCTCTGATCCACTGGCCTTCTTGACTATCCTACTTTGACATGTCAGGCCACACCAGGACTGATTTAGCCCTGCGTCCTGTGTCGAGTGGGTTATTCTATTCTTCAGGCTTCCTTTCCTTTCCTGCATTCCATCCTTGTTTTGTTGGAGTATATTACTCTTGGGATAAGCTTCCAGAGCTGACACACCAGACGATGTTTGGGCTTTTGGGCCAAGTGACTGGATTTAGAATTATAGTCCAAAGTGTCAAAGACCTTTGGTGATGGTCTCTGCTGTTAGTTTCTGCAGATGAGTCTGATCTGTGGCACTTTGATGCTGGCCTGTTTTTCTTCTTGGAAACTTTGCAGACTCTTCTAAGTGCTCTATGATTTCACAGCGCTGGAGACATCAGGCTAATGGGTCCCCTTTCAGTAGGACAACTGTCTTGCCTATGAGCAGGTAGTCCCAAGCTGATCATATGTGAAGCAGGCACACTCCATGTCAGGGTTAGACTGTCTCTGTGGTCTGTACCCATTGAACAAGGGGACCTTGGGCCATCCACATGGCTTGAGTAATGTCAACAGTGAAGATTTTGTTTCTGAGGTAAAGATCCAGGTCAGTCCAAGAGTTCTCGGCAGGGGTTTCGGAGAAT